AAATTTGGGACAAGAACTGTATTTGGATATTATGATGTGCTTAGAATTAGCAGTAGTTACCAACTAATCTCCTTCCCCACTGAAAGCTTTTTTTCTTCATTAGAGGGTGGCAAGCAATGTTCAGAAAACTCCATACAGTTCTGTCTTTCCCTCAAAATCTCTCTCATCTTTTGCAGTTCCTGATGGGCCCTTGAGAAACAGATGAGTAAAATGTGGACTGTGAAACTACCAAGGCGGCAGCGATAGCGAGACAGTAAAATCCTTCAGTACACAGTCAAGCGCAGACTGTGATGTTAAAGGATTGAATTGGCGGTTATTAAGCTAGTAAGAGCAAACACATAATCCACAGAGACTTCTACTGTGATTTCTTAGGGGTTATATGGCTATGAGAAGCTGGGAATGTTGGTACTTGAGCACAGAGCCTGGAGACCACTGACACCAACCTTGCAAACCACTTTCTGGTGGTTTCTTTAGATTTAGGAGGAAGTAGAAGAAGAAACAGCAATCTGGCTGGACACTGTTGCTCCTTTTCTGTGTTGTTGCTGGTGACAGTAGAAGCCCACATTCTTCATTAGCTGTTAGTAATCGTGTTGTTATATCTCCCACACAGGTCCATGGTACCTTGCTATAACCTTTACTAGAGTGAGAAAACATTGCACTGCCTCATCAAATATATCTGCAGCCAGCATATTGCCATCAAAGAGCTGGAGCTTGGTCAGAGCACCATGTTGTTTGCTGTGTGAAATAATGCCTTCCTGAATATTGTGACTTCAGTTTTTAAACACTGTGAATTTTCTGTCTTACACTTCTTCTTGCTGATCATCCCATTTTATCGTATCACTTTGGCAATACAACAAATACAATCACTACTGAAGGTGTTCTAGTGTGTCCAAAGCAATTTCTACTGTGAAAATGAGATGACTTCTTTGCTTACCATCCTTCTGTGAGAGGGTACTCTCCAAATATCACTCAGCTGTGACTGTTAGTTTTATCAATCAACTGAGTGTGTGGAAAAGGGAGTTGAGAATACATTTTTTGGCAGATATTACACATGTGCAGTGTGCTGCTAAAAACATCTTTCTCGATGAAATTAAACCAGAACTTGAATAGATTAATAGTGCATGTTTCACAATACAGTTGTTACCATAGCTATAGAAAAAATTTCTAGTGGATTTTATTTTACATTAGAAACTTGTGCCATGGCAACAGCAATGCCTGTGAAAGATGTAACTCTGTCGTTATAATTTATCTATTACAGCTCTTTTCTTTACTAACAACTGTTATTTTCCTGAATGTACTTTAGTTTTTAACATGGAATCTTTTCAGATACCAGCAGATTTCCAACCTTACATGAATGCAAAATTCACAGTATGCAATATGCTCCTGATTTTCTTAATGTGCTCTGTAGTCTTGGAGTCAGATTCAGAAAATAGATAGGCGAGTTTGATGAAGCATCCGTAAAATATAAGTCTCAAACACTGAAAGTGAGAAATGGTATTCCACAGCGTTCTATATATGTACCACAAGCAGCTGTGCTGGGGTGCACCAGTGTGTAAATAAATAGCTGACTGAATTGCAATCTGCTGCCTAGATGTCAGTTTTGTTCTATATAAACTGGTGATAATAGTGATATGTATCTGTGGCTTTGTGATTGTGGCAGAACTGGATTTATTTGTAGTTCTAAATGTAAATGTTTTCCATGCAACACAGATATGGCAGTATCACAGTGATTTTCAGAAGTAATCTAGTCAGATGGGTAAGCTGTATGTGCACTTTTAATAGCACTAAAGATCTGTAGAAATTATCTGTTTATGTTTTGGTATTTAGGATACTATTTACAAGTAAAAAGATAAGGTGGTAAGAAAAGCAGAATCTGGTGAGGAAGCAACATCTCTTTCTGTTGACTTTTAATATTACAAAAATAATTGTTGCAAAAAGAAAAAAAAAAACCTATCATAAGCAGGAAGCTTCTCTCCATTGAGATTCAATCCAAGAGCCTGAACTTCTCCACCTATTCTCGCTCCCTGATATCCTCTCGCTCTTTAAGTCCATTCTCAGAAGACTTACTCAAAAGCCCATGAGAACTCAAAACTGGTATTAACTTACTGTTCACTGGGTATATGCAATATAATTGCATATCGTATAGTTTCTTACTGCCAGTTAAGTTGGTTGAAACAAATAAAGCAACTAATGGAAAGGTTCAAAAGCGTATGATAAAGTTAGGGCATAGAACATAATAAGAATGGAGAGTCTGAATTTCTCAGATATATCAGTAGATTTAAGATTAATTCTAACCACACAGGACATTGATCATCAGTATAGACAACTTAATGAAAGATTTTTTTTCCACACACAGCAGTATTCAAAAGAAAAAGAATAATTTTGGTATGTTTAAAAACAGACAAAATAATACATAAAATATCACATTTTGTGTATCATTACGAAGCCTCAGTAGAAATATCAATTTCAGTATCAATTATCTTGAAATTTATGGCAGAAATATGCGACAATAAAAAGACACCAATTTCAGATATGGGTAATTATTAAAAGCTAAGGAACGATTTTGGTTTTTTTAAGTAAAGTTGCCTATTTTAGCAAAGATACAGAAGAAACATTATATTGTCCTGTTTAGAGATTTTCATACTTTAAGTTCTTGAGCCTGAGATCTTGGACATTTACATGAGCCATGAAGACATGTAGTTGCAGTTTTAGATATGGTGCAGTCTGAAGAGGTTATTTAACATCTCATGCTTCAGGTCTTAGGTCAACAAATATTGACTTGGAATAAGAAAGAAAAACATACTCTGGCATGGATTATTTTCTTCCTTCTGGAATTTCTTTAGGACAATACAGTGAGTGGTAGGCTACTATACTTCCTTTGTCATATAATTAACAAAGCTCTTCATTAATGCAAAAGATATAAAATAAAAGTTTTATTTAATAGTATAAATGTAGCAAAGATATTAGTGAAGAAAATTTTGATATTAGTGAAATCCTTGCAATCCAGGTGCCTGTAAGCTTTTCTTTTTCCTGATGTAGTCACCTTGCTTACTTTGTCCTGACAAAAACATTTCTCTCTTAAGTAAGTTCAATAGACTACTGTTAAGACTTCTCTCTGGAACAGCAGAATAGAATTCAGTTCATGATTAAGACATCTAAATGTAGGTATCTGAATGCCAACTGGATGCCCTCTCCCATTGTAGTCATTGGCAGTCCAGTCAATACAGTTAACAGTACAGGAATTGATTCAGCTGACCAGCCACAACAAACGGTGAGTGGCATCACTCTCTAGGATCCATTGACTTTATCAACCTGGTCTCTGACCATGGTGGGAGCTTACATACTTCTTACCTATGTAGATATGTAAAATGAGATGTCTTAATCTGGCTCATCTCCGTAAGACTTCAGGTGTGCTCCAGTGTGCCCAGCAGGTCTCAGAGCAACAGGCTGAGGGCCCTTGCTAGCACCCCGTCCTTTGAACCTTGGCATGTCATCCCACAGCTTGTCACAGGCAAGCCTGATATTATCAGCCTTCCTCTTCAAGCATAGATTAAAGCCTTGCAAATGAACCCTGCTAGCTTATGAACAAAGACCCTCTTCCCCCTTCAAGAAAGGTGAATCCCATCTGATGCCAGCAAGCCAGGTGCCATGTAGGCCATCCCATTATCCAAAATGTCTTAAGTGTATATTGTAGCCAGTTGTTTCCCAAAGAGGAAAAGTAGATTTTCTTAGGTTGCTCTCCTAATCTTGATTAGAATTTTATCCTGATATTTTAACAAGTGAGGAAAACACGTAATTTTATACTTTTAAGCTGCTGATAGTAAAAGAGGTGATGGTGTTTGGAAGTACACACCAAGATCTTTCTTCTGTCATTCATATAATCAAATACTGCCTCCTTTTAGAAGTGATGTTTGGAGATTTGTGGATTTTTTTTACAAGCAGATGTTTTAGCAAATAGGAGGAATCTGTTCAATTTCTTTGCAAATTATGACACGATGCTATGTTTGATTCCTTCTGGTAGGTAGTGCTGTGCATACAGTCCTGCAGTTAGAGTCTACATATGAACATACAACTTATAGCAGGAACAAGATGAATGTATTTATCTTTAATGAAGTAGTTGTAGGGGTTCAACTGTTAGTGGGGACATAGTTATTCTGAACTGCAAAATTAATGCAAATATGCAAATTTAATGTCATGTGGATAGAGTGATGTGATCCACATCAACACTTTAAATGAGGCAGCCCAGATAGAAAAAAGATCCCTTTTTTCTTTTCTTTTTTTTTTCTTCCTAGTCCTTACAGCAACAGCCAAAAAAAGGGCTATAAATTTTTAATAATGGACTCTGAAAGTGCGTTTTTTTCTGTAGTTCCTTTTTTGTGTGTGTACTAAATTGCATATAAAATTTGTTTCAAAAAGACTTGATTTCCTATTCTTTTTTTCCAGTAGTTACTATTACTCTGAAGCTATTCTCAAAAGTTCCCAGAAATAAAAATACACAGGTCTATTCTTTAGAGACTGGCAGTAAAAAGGTGTCATAGTGTAAATTCACTATTATTACAATGACTATAAAAAGAAAAATTACTAACAATACTCATGACAACACTAGTTCCTCATGTGTTTTACTACCTATAAAGTAACTAGCCAATTCATCATGCTAAACTGTATAATTTGTAAATGTTTCAACTCAATAACAAATTAAAAGAGACACCATCAAGTTAATGGAATAGCAATGACCTATTTTATTTCATAAATTTGTTTTTTCCTGGAATTTATGTTTAACACTGAGTGGTTTTGTCTGTTTTTCAACAGGATAACATAGTCAAGTTTAAGGAGAGAATTGTTTTTTAAGAGACTAATAAATCAATTCATGACATAAGTAACTTTTGTTTCTGTACATAAGAACCAAGCGGCATACAAAAATCATTTTGCGGAGAGTAAGGGTTTTGTTGTTTGCACTATTTTATCACCCTGTTTTTTTACAAGGTACTCTCTCATTTCAGGGCGTCTTTGCCAGGGAGAAACATCCACTGAAAGTGAGCTTCCTGAAGGACACCCCGCTGAACAGTTTGCAGGTTTACTTCATGGATCATCACCTGCGTGTGACCCACCTGATAATCCACTCCAGCTGTACAGCAAAGCAAACCAGTGCCGTGGTCCACTAGAGAAAAGCATTTTGAGCAAGAGCACAGTGCAGCAGATACAGCTACAGAAAGAAAACAACACTGATCCTCCTGTTAAGAAAAAAAAGCCACCAGTTGTAAACAGAACCATATTTCATACTAAAACTAAACCAGTAGAAAATCATACGTTGGTTGGCACGTCAACACGGATAAGTGAACAATGGGTTATTACTACTGGGGGATTTGTGGAGCGAGCATGCACACTTGGGAGAATACGATCTTTACCAAAGACTTTGCTTGAAATGCATTTGTGCAAAAATGTTTCAAAATCTGATTCTAATCTTATCACCCATCCACCAAATGACAAAAAAGCAAGAAGCAACTGGAGTGAACCCACACCAAACCAACAGTGCTCCAAAGGGAATTCGGAGAGAACACCTTCCTTCACATCAGAATGGGAAGAAGTAAGTTCTTTTAATTTTTAACTAAAAGAAAATATATAGTATTGTGAAAACGCTGTCATTATTTTAGTTTCAAAGATGAAACAAAAAGTGAATCTTCCACACTGCAAATCCTCAGAGAGTATGTCATACTGTAATGTGTGGTAGTTTGACAGCTGGCACAAAATACAATGCATTTCTGTTCAAAATGCTCACACTTAATGAAGTCTATTGTTTTCATAGTGAATGAGGTTAACCAGAATGAATTCTACGATTTGTTGTGACATTGCAATTATTTTGCACTAAAGCCCTCACTACTGACACTGATAAAATTGGTAAAATTCTTTGTAGCTATGCCCATTATTTACATATTTGCTAATTATTTCCCACCATGGCAATACCTGCCAGTGAGAGACAAAAGAAAATGGAAGGAATGGAGAGTCCAAGATTTTTAGGTTGATTATGCATTCTACAAACCCTTCCTACATAACATATCCTCTAACTGGTACGTAGGCTGTGTGCGGAATGCTTGGCATATACCTGACTCTTGTGTGAAGTGGGAATACACTTATAGCTACAATGAATTTGGGACTATTAAAAGAAATGTCCACACTGAGTTTGTAGCGCACATGCTTGTTCATACAAGAGGCTTTATTTTAGTTTTAGAACTAGATTTAAAGTAACTTTTAGACAACTTATTTTTAATTCTTCTTCCTCCTGTGCGAAATTTCAAGTATGTAAATCAAATCATAGACACAAAAATTCCCATTTTATTGAGGTAAATCAAGAGTGGGAAATGTTTAGATCTTTACTGCTATTACAGAGAAGCAAGCATTTCCTTTTAAAATGACTGCTATTGGGGAAATGTATATATCTTCAGAATTTAATTTTATTTCAGAAAGAACCCAGAGCTTGTTTGTGTGATTGGTTATTTTTCTAGAAAAACGGTTTCCAACTCATCTAAATGTCTGATTTGATAGACCATCTGAAGGTATTTTTTGTTGTAAAGGAAATACTTTCTCAGTGGAAAGGTACTTAGGATGAGGTTTTGATCTTAATAACTTGGATACATTGTTATGAGATCCTGAAATGAGTCAGGTCCAATTTTGCTTTTTTAGGGGGACATCAAGGTTTGATTGTTCTTAAAAGTAAGAAAAAGAAGTTTATAATAAAAAAAAAAAAGGTGGGAATTCTAAATCTTCATATTCTGACATAATTCCCAGATTTTCTCCTGTCACCAGTGACTAATACATAGTTTTTAAAAAGGAGACAGTTTTCTTAATAGTCCTAATATTAATCTCAGTAAAACCTGGTTCTCTGTGTCTGCCGCCTTACACAACATGAGCCTTTTGATTCACTTTTTATTTCGTCCTGTCCTTAAATAGATAATAAATTAGGTATAATAGTTTTGACATAGTAATTTCAATGTAATATAGAAGTGTGCAAATGAGTTTGGGGATCAATGTAGTGCTGTTTCACAAAAAATATTCTGCAGTATGTGGGGACACAGCTATGTTTCATACCTCTTCAGTGGCCTTGAGGCAGATGGAAGAGAAGTAGCTAGGAAATTCTCCGGAAATCTTAATTGAACAATTGCTTTAGTACTTTATAACGCACAAAACAATATTCTTATGCATTAATATTACTGCTTAAACAGACCTCTAGTGGTTCACAGATACCATCAAACGATATGAGCCTATAAAATTAATATCCATTCCATCGTATACTTTAATATATGCATTTCCCTCCTTTGTATTTATGTACTGCAATATGACAAAGTAGTTTCAGACAATGAGCTATACCTAGATGACAGTCACTATGAAAGGAACTGTACTGTAGAAAAAGAAATACTAGTCTCAAGCTTTAGCTTTTGCTACTGTACAAATGTGGCAAAATAAAAATAAATTTGAGAGATTAGTTGTCTGCCTTCAATTTTTGCATTTTGCAATCTTGATTGCTTTTTTCCTACTGAGAATAATAATTCCATGACTTTATGCATGAAAAACTAAAATAAAATAACAAAGATGGGGCCCATCAATTATTTTCACTGTTCTTTCTTTTGTAGATTGATAAAATCATGAGTTCAATAGATGCTGGAATTAATACTGGACTGGGGGAGATGAATGATCACACTACAAGTAAGGAAAAACAACTATTGCTCAATTTTGACTTAACTGTCCATAGGGAAACTCTGGATAAGATATTGCTATGTAACCCACTGTGTTGAAATCATTTGTGGGTATTTGAATAACCGTGAACAGAATCAATGTTGTTTACTGTTAGAGATGCATTAGGCCCAGTATCCTGGAGCTGTTACTTTAAATAGCATATTGTAGTCATTAATGTTGTTTTGAAATCTTACCAGAAAAAATATTCCATTAATGTCTTTGTACTGAAGCATTTCTATTAGGGGGATATTTTCCAATGTTTTTCAGATGAGTTTTTGTTTGGAATGATGGAACCCTGAGTATATATAATCCCACAGGTGCTGACACTTTTTAAAGCTTTATATTGCCTAATGCTGCTTTGAGCAAATATTTGGCCCAGGGCTGAAAATGTTGCTGACAGCCAGTGACTGGTGTTAGCAATGACGGGAAGATTTGCAAACCTTCCCTACCATGGTGAATTCTAAGAACTCAAGTCATGACTAGTCTGTTGTGTCAGCATAAACCTATGCAACTATGCTGAAAAGAATTTTGAAAGTATTGTACTATGTCTTCTTCCTAAATCATGGAAGGAAAACTGACTTGTATGTCTGAATAATTTGGATTTGAGGCAAAGCTATGTTAACTCACCAGTACCAGTACATCCCTGCTAGCAGTTGCATGCAATTACTTGGGTTTGTGTATTGGGCAGGAGACTATGTACCTTATCATTTAAAATTTATAAATCTAAGTGTTTTAAAACTGTCCATTTCATGAAGCATTATATCTGTATAGGACAAAACTGTGTCTTACCAAGTAAATAGAGTTGACACATTTATTTTATCAGTAGCTGGGCAGTGAGAAGGGAATCTAGGAAAAAGAGAAAATAACTGATTTGAATACAAATATAACTGCAGATAAAACAAGCAGATTCAGATTATTTTTTCCTACAAGGCACAATAACATGAAAAGTGCTAGGCATGTTGACCTGGCAGACTATTTTTTCTTTCTGAAACTTGTACTGTTGGAAGGAAGAATTATTCACAGAAAAACTCTAGCTTAGGAGATAATTAATAATTTCTGAAGATATTATAAGGAATTCAGGATTTGCTGCTAATAATTTTTTATCATGGTAGTACACAGGTACCAAATGCAAAATCAGGCATCCATTAAGAAGCTGCAGAGCAAGTAAGAGCTATGAAAAGGAGATAAAAGCAATAGTATGCATATGCAAATTTGCATAACTTGGTGAAGTCTAAATACTACTCTATCCCTTCCTATGACTGACCACTGCTTTTCTTTTTCTACTTTTTTTCATTTAAGATCAGTAAATATCTCACAGCTCTTGTCATCAGCCATTTTGTGTCCTCTACTTGCACGCATTATTTTTCTTGGCATTCAGATGTGTCATTTGGTTCTTCAGATCTTTCAGTTGGCAAATCTACTCTTTTATTTGCTTTGTCTTTTCCCAGGGGGGACTCAAAGTCCTAACTTTTTTTCTATTTAGTATGCAGCTTCTGGAAAACCAACATTTTTTCTTTTCTGTCAACTCCTTAATGGTCTTTAGATAGTTTAGAATGATAATCTGGTTTTGCTCTTAATAAGGAAATGAAGCTATGTACTATTAATCAAAGTACAACTACTTTTCTTTAAATTCAGTCAATTTTGCTGTACATGCAGACTGCAATGAAGACATTTATTTCTGTTATAGCACTGGCTATATGCAGCTTCACATTTATGTTTTCCACTTTTCATTCATTTATGCCTTTTCCAGGTTCTGCCAAACACAGTTTAGACAGCAAAGCACAGGGAACGATTATAATATCAAGGGCATTAATTGCATTATATAAAAAATGTTGAACTTCAAGTATATTCTTATTTTTTTATTAACAAAGTAATAGGGTTATCTAGCAGAAAGTAAGAGCTTTTTATTTCTCACCATTGGAGTAACCAATCAAGTGGAGCCATATTAGTGATATTTATATACTTGACAACAGATTTTGCTTGAGATTGTAGCCTGTGTTAATTACCACTTATTAACTACCACAAGGCAATATGCAGGTTTTTCTTACTGATAATACAACCTAAGAGATTTTTTGACAGGTCTTTGGCCCCAGTGAAGGGGTTGCTTTGAACTTTTCTGCAGCAAATCAGCTTCTTTGTTGTGTGCTGCTTCTATTTAAGCTCCTATAGTTCATCGGCACAAGGCATCTCAGGTGCACCAGTGTTGCCCAGAGGTGCCTCACATAGCCTCTGTCTAATTGTTTATAGATGCTGGCATTGTCTGGATCTCTATGTGTTTTACTTAGGGTTTCATCTGCCCAAGTGTTGTAGTACTGAGAACCTAAATTCCACCTCAGAACTTCTTGTTCTCTCTTTTCCTTCCTAGCTCCATGCTAAGCATAACATAGTTAAATGAAAAGATCTGGACTATGCTTAGGAATAAAAATTTAGTATGGTATCAGGTAACATAATTTTGAAACCCTTCATAAGTTTATATATAAATATATGAGTTTTTTTAGTTTTACTTGAACATATATGCATTCAGCTCTGGAGCCCTCAGCACAGGAAAGACATGGACCTGTTGGAGCAGGTCCAGAGGAGGGCCACAAAAATGATCGGATGGAACACCTCTCCGATGAGGACAGGCTGAGAGAGTTGAGGTTGTTCAGTCTGTAGAAGAGAAGGCTCTGGGGAGACCTTATTGCAACCTTCCAGTACTTAAAGGGGGCTTATAAGAAAGCTGGGGACAGACTTTTTAGCAGGACCTTTTGTGACAGGACAAGGGGTAATGGTTTTAAGATAGAAGAGGGTAGATCTAGGCTAGGTATAAGGAAGAAATTTTTCCCAATGAGGGTGATGAAACACTGGCACAGGTTGCCCAAAGCAGCGGTAGGTGCCCCATCCCTGGAAACATTCAAGGTTGGACGGGGCTCTGAGCAACCTGATCTAGTTGAAGGTGCCCCTGCTCACTGCAGGGGGGTTGGACTAGATGACCTTTAAAGGTCCCTTCCAACCCAAATTATTCCATGACTCTATGATTCTATATCTGTAAAAAAGATTATCAGGTAGATATTAAAAATAATGTATTTAATGTTCAGAGTGTACAAGTCAAAGATTTCTTTTAGTGTTGAACTGAAAGCATCTAGATTATTGAGTACTATATTCAGGAAACTTTAATTTTCTTGCCTAACAACTTTTTAGCAAACAGTAAAATTTCTGATAATAATGAAGAGCAAATACAGTTTGATATGGGATCCTTAATTTTAGTATTTACTTAGTCCTATACTTCATATTATACTTCGGTGCTTTTATGAACTGTTAGTAAAAACAAAAATATATTAAATTCTAGCACAAATACTCTTAATCTACCAGGCATGAAGAGCTTTTTATACTACATAGTATCTCATTCTCAGTGAACAATATTTGAGACGAAATATGTCATAATCAATATCATCATTGAAAATTTAATAGCTATATTTAAAATTAGACAATGATGACATCTTGTGATGAAATCTTTGAATGGATTTATAGGAACTTTGGCCTATGTTTTTCTGGTGAAATCTGGAAAGAATTCTTTTAGATCTGCGGAATCTCTTAAGAAGCAATTAGAGGAACAATGAAAGGAGAGAATCAAAACTGGATGAGTATGGTCATGAGGACTTCATCCACAGCGCACATTCAGAAACAAAAAAAAAATTAAAGCAGACCTTTCAGTTTGGTAGTAATACTAGTACTGGCAGAGTAAACTTGAAACTACAGAGAGGAAGATGGCTGTCAATGTCCTCTGAGGGCATGAGGCATTCAATACTTGAATAGCTTAACACTGAAATCAAAAGCAGGAGTGCTGACCAAGGAGCAAGTAAGAACTGATCTCAATGATAACAGACAAAAGAAACACCACCCCAAAGAATACAAAACCTCTACTACCAAGAGGAAATAAAAGATGGTGCTGTCTAGTGACTTTCTAGTCAAGGTGGTGTGGAGACATCTGCACCACCTGGCACTCACATTATGGCTGGTCTGTTTCTTCACAAGAGTCCAAATTTGCCAGGTTGCAAAGGATTCTACCAATCACTAGTATATGATAGAGAATACTAATGATACTGACAAGAATGATCGTAAGCAAAACAAAAGTGCTTGTAAGGCTCTGTGGCAATGGATAAAGAGGTTGAAGATTCAAGTCATATTATTGCCTCTCCTCTCATGTGCAAGTCAAACATCAGTCAGATAGACCCTAAATATAACTACATACCTTCTATTCTGAGAGAAGAGAACTTTAAATTAGGAACCATGTGGCAAGGACAAAAATATTCATCTTAAATAATGCAAATGGAACATAGGTCTACTCCTGAGAAAGATAGGATTATTTAACAAAGGATTAAAGAAGTGACAAGACAAAGAGTCATGGGTCAGCTTGCCAGGTGTCTTAGCTGTTTGTACAGTAATGGTAAAAGAAAGAGGAACAGAGAAGAATTAACAGAAGATTCAATGAAGAATAGACAAGTATTAGTTGAAGATTATGACACAGTTGGCATTGTAGAGAATTTATCATATATATTACACTAGTAGTCCTGTCACGTAGAGGATATAACTTCTTCAGTAGATGGGAAGAAAAGAGATAATGTTGGCTTGTATTTAAAAAATATAATGGTTGCTTTGAGATCTTGAAAATAGGGTTAGTTAGAGCTGTTAAACATATGTTGGTATCCAGGAAAGGAGAAAAGAACATAGTTGTTCTTGGTACATAGCCAAAGCCATTGGACTTGAAAGTAATGGGAGATTTTAGTTATCATAGCACTTGACAGACTGCCCAGGAAGAAAAGGTCTCAAGAAGGTAACATCAATAAATTCAGAGAATTTCTTTTTAAAAATTTATAGGGTACAAATTAAAGAGAAATCTGTGGGTTCTTCAGCAGAACACTACTAAAGACCATAGTACAAGCTTCACCAGTGTGAAGAAAAGAAAGTGTAAAAGACCAGCTTGGCTAAAT